AATTCAATCATGACCGCAGGCTAAAGAAATGTACTTATTATTTTGACCATATGTGTATATACTTGTGGTATATGCTATCCGTTCCTTTCATCGGATAACTAATGCGGTCTGTGATCGCAACRAACATTTATTTTTTACATACTTATGTATGTAACTTCCAAAATATGAATATTAAGTGGCATCTGAGCCCTTATATTTTTTCCTTTAGAATTGCTCTCTTTAGTTACATACATACATACATAAGTCCAAACAAATATGTATTTATGAATTAAATTGAATATCAGCGGAGTATCTTGTGTCCATTTGTCTACACACATACTTCCATAGATGCGTAAGCAAGGAATTGGCAACACTGTTTGTTGTAACTCAAATCCGATCGAACCTTAATTAAATCATACATGTTGTAAACGACACACGTTCAAGGAATGAAAGGCAGAGAACACAAACAAAATTGCTAGGGGTGTCTGCGCAACTGCAACGGTCTACACAATGTACACTGTTTGTTTGTGTGTTTAGGTACATTCGAATTTCGAAAGAACCCGGCAACGAGCAGTTCGTTGCGAATCGCCTGATAGCGCAGAAGTTGTACAGACTTTTAACATTTTGCGGTGACAGCTGCAAAACATGAAGAAATTATATACATATACATACGTACCTATTGGCGTAAATTTGTAAATGGATATTCTTCAGTATTGCCACTACAAAGCGTAAAGAGACTTAGAAAATCTGTCATGTATAGGAAATATATCTCCTATACGATTATGATCAGTTTTAAATGTTAATTATTATTTTTTTGATTAAAATATTTCTTATAAATAAAAATTACATAATTTATCTGTTAAAAAATATTAACAGGTTCAACACATATTTATTGTAGAAAAGCATTTTTCGCCAGACTTTTTTATAACTGAAACATTAAAATGTTTCAATGAATGGTCTTTGAATTCTTTCAAAATGAGAATTATAAAAAAATTGATTGTCCGCTGCGTCCGTGTCCGAGTCCCGCTTTAAAAAGCGCTCATCCCGTTGTCATTTCGTGGTAAATAAATTTTTGATGTTTTTATGTAAAATAATGGAGATAAACATTTTTACAATGGTAACCATAGCCTAAACATTTTGTAGCCAAATTTAATGTGTAAGTGCCTGTTCACACACTGGTAGTTCTGTCGCCCAAACAGTTTCTTTAGTAATCCCTTGGCCTAGGACTTTTTCCATGGAACATTCACAATATGTTGGGAAATTTAAATTTTATTTTCTATTATTTGTTTGTAACATGGAAATAGCATGTAGGCATAATATAAAACAAATATTTTTTAAAGGTGTGGATTAAAAAAGCAATTAGCTAAGGAAAAATATTTTTCTGGGACGTGTATAAGAAGCGTACCAGAATTAGAGAATGTGATATGAAAGGGAATCCAGAAAATTTACCGACGGGATCATGTCACTACTTCGCATGCAATGAGCGACACCAAAATATATTTTGTCGATAATGAGCGACAAGAGAGTCCGCCTATAAACTGGGTCTAAAAAAATGATAATCTTCGGCAAACTTCCTTGCCCACAATAAATATACCGTTTACAAATATGTATGCGAATATGTTTGTGTATGTGTATCGATCAGTTGACGCGGCCGGCCCTTGCTGCGTTTCAAACATGTGCGACGTCTTCGGTTTAGTCTGCGTCGACGCAACTGTTCTCTGCCCTAGTCTCCATCGAGTGCAGTTATTTACGTCGTCATTGTTTTCCTGCCTTGTCTTTGTTGTTGTCATGCCTATACGACTGCTACTCTTTTTTTCCTTATCGTTTGTCGTTGTACGTTTTTCCTTTTTTTTCGATTTGTTCGTTGGCATTCTGGTTTAAAAATTTTGAGGAGTTGAAGTTGTCGTGTGTGTTTGTTGTTGTTTGACGTCGCAGCTAGCTGCTAGATGGAGCATTTTTGTAGAATCAGCAGGAGACAGATAGCCGTTGTGCGAATCTGTAGCACTGAAGGAATCACTTGTGCGCGCGCCATCGAAATGAACGGTTGTTTCTATATCATCTCATCCGCAGCAAAAGTATTGCCATCAGACACTAGCGAAGCCGGTAGGCTAGACTGGACAAGTCAAATCATAAAGCAGCATACTGTGTAAAAGTATTTGACGATGTAACGAATGTTTTGATTTACAGTTTCATAACGTGCGATTAGTACAGTAGCGTGTTTCAATATATTCCTTATCGACATCGGTGCGCAAAGTAATGTTGTATATGTGAATTTTTGTAAAAAAAAAAAAACATTTTGATAAACCATTATATTTTTTGTTCATTCTAAAAAAGTGTTTTTGTTATTTCGTTAATAGTGTTGTCTCGTTTAAAAAAATGTGAAATTGGCATTAAGCATAAAATCTAACAACATTGTATTCRTTAATAACTACACAAATCAGTAAAAAAATCTTATACAGTGATCTTATAAAATATGGCTTAACATTTCGTTAGACGTTGGCAATTCTTTGCTAAACTTTGCTACTGTATGCATAAAAGTGAGTCAATACATAGCGAAGACAATTCGAAATATACAATTTTGAGACAAAATACAAGGTGAGTATCTGACACTAAACATGAAACTCGGAAATTTTTATATTTTTTTGCAATTTTTCGTAAATGTTCTTCATAGCGTTAAGAAATTCAGGGCGTTTTTTCAATGTCTGGTTATCATATCTGTTACTTAAGTTCTGGTTAAGTTTACCGAAACGGGCATGATTCCGATTACTTTTCGGTGGGGGACTGAAATCGAATTCCGGTATAAATGGTGTATGTGCTGATAGGGAGGAATATGTAAAAATAGTGCTGCTAACACTTATGTATATACTTTAAAATATTCACGTTAGTTAACCAGAACTTAGCTGATAAATGGTTGCTAATCAGATCTTGAGAAAACAGTAGTCACTTACGAGTTTTTAACCAATCCTTGCAATAGCTTTCCCAGTTTTTTAACCAATTATTTAAATTCTTTAGTTGATCAATGAACACTAATATTATTTACTAATTGGAATTATGAAAATAAATTAATTAAGCCTTTCATTCATCCACATTTTTTAAGCTATTAATGAAAATGTAATTAATAAAAGTTGATTGAAAATTAAGCGGACATGTTTCTCAAAGTCCTGGCACATATTCATCAGTTTCCATATGATATTAGCAACTTCTTCATACTGATTTGCTTTCGTCATATCGTTATACAAACATACGTACATCAATGCCGGGAGGGCATCATGGTCATGGCCATGATCAAACGCTGATGATTATCCGTTCTTCTTCTCTTTTTACTATTCCACAATGTTGCACACATATCCAAATATGTGTCTATAACTTCCTCATTCATGAAACAGGTCTTCTACTAGTGCATTGGTGCAGATGCTAACTATGACATATTGCGAATTCAGGTTTTTTGCAATACATTGAAAAGCTTGCCATATTTTTGCTGCAATCCTAAAGTTACTGCTGATGCTGCAGATTCTAACACTGCTGTGCTTGCTGTTTCTTCCGCTCTCGTTATAGACGATTGTGCCCAGTAATGTCAGCTTTGAATAATAAAATAATATTGACTGCATTTTCAGTACGAAATTTATTGACTTAATTTACTGTCAAACGTTTGTTTTAATTTGTTGTTAAAGTGGAGTAATAGTTAAATCTGTTGAAGTAAGGTAAGGAATGAGTAATCAGAAACAAATTTATTTTGTTCCTTGAGGTATGTAAGTGTTTAAGAAACGAACTAATCAAAATAAGATTTGAATAATTAATAAAGATTAACTTAAAAATATAGTTCCTCTTTAAAAGTTGGAAGTAATATTTATTTTTACATTTTGCCTTGCGAAATATTGTTTTAGGGCGTAGTTTAAAAAATTTTAGTAATGGGAGATATGCATAGTCGTATGCATGATCTGACCGATTCCGATAAATGATCAATATAATATCAAAATACATTACGTTTCAAATTTCATTCGCTAATTTTAAAAACTAGTAAACGAATTTTTCAAATCCTTAAAAAACTTCGTCTTACAAATCGCTGACTCGGAACCGGGTTTCGACTCATATTCTCTTAGGCAAAGTCCTTCAGAAAGATTCAGAATATTTCCGCATATGCAATTTTTCCATTTTTTTTTATCCCTGTAAGTCAACCCGCTCTAAAACTTGAGTTTGTTATATATCTGCGCTTCTCGATTTCTGTAGCTGTCCGTAAATCACAGTCCTGTTTCAATATCTAACGTAAGCGTAACGTCAACTACTCGTATAATCCCACCTGCAATACCCGCTATAAGGGTGTTAGTTTAAAGCAGACATTGTCAGAGGAAGGGTGATATCTTATCAGTTCGAAATTTAGTGTTCCTACCTCTGCATTCACAATTTGAGGAACTTTCAAGAATACCATCCCCCCGATTTCCGGGTTAAAGATGGTACATATGGTTACATAGAGCAGATTCGACAGGTTAAGAATATTTATATTTATAGCCGTCGAAAATCTGAAGAATCTGTATCCAATCATAGCACCCTGAAATCGAGGGATGGCAGACTAAAGCCCACTCCACAATAGACTATACCGCTTGAACGTAAGGAAAGCTCAAAATAGACATCAACTCTTAGACATAAGGGAAAGCGGCAGGCTCCATAAGTTTGGGATAAGTATATTTGGTGTTTGATTATCTTGCACACGGCATCAAGAAGCCTGGCTGATCCACAGACAAATACACGGCAGATGCAGAAATTTTCGCTTGTTGAAGTTAAATGAAATATTTACATAAATGTATTGCTTTAAATATGCATATGTACACAAGCATGTTATGTGCGGAACACAATGCTCGCGACAGACTGCAGCAGCCCGACAGTGAACTGAAAATGTCGTTGTAAATCCCACTACACGAACGTTTGTGAGAGGGCAGCAACATAACAATGGCCGGCATGTACACAAAACAACGCAGTTGTCCATTTTGCATGTACACAATTTCGTCGTGGNGCGTTAAGAAATTCAGGGCGTTTTTTCAATGTCTGGTTATCATATCTGTTACTTAAGTTCTGGTTAAGTTTACCGAAACGGGCATGATTCCGATTACTTTTCGGTGGGGGACTGAAATCGAATTCCGGTATAAATGGTGTATGTGCTGATAGGGAGGAATATGTAAAAATAGTGCTGCTAACACTTATGTATATACTTTAAAATATTCACGTTAGTTAACCAGAACTTAGCTGATAAATGGTTGCTAATCAGATCTTGAGAAAACAGTAGTCACTTACGAGTTTTTAACCAATCCTTGCAATAGCTTTCCCAGTTTTTTAACCAATTATTTAAATTCTTTAGTTGATCAATGAACACTAATATTATTTACTAATTGGAATTATGAAAATAAATTAATTAAGCCTTTCATTCATCCACATTTTTTAAGCTATTAATGAAAATGTAATTAATAAAAGTTGATTGAAAATTAAGCGGACATGTTTCTCAAAGTCCTGGCACATATTCATCAGTTTCCATATGATATTAGCAACTTCTTCATACTGATTTGCTTTCGTCATATCGTTATACAAACATACGTACATCAATGCCGGGAGGGCATCATGGTCATGGCCATGATCAAACGCTGATGATTATCCGTTCTTCTTCTCTTTTTACTATTCCACAATGTTGCACACATATCCAAATATGTGTCTATAACTTCCTCATTCATGAAACAGGTCTTCTACTAGTGCATTGGTGCAGATGCTAACTATGACATATTGCGAATTCAGGTTTTTTGCAATACATTGAAAAGCTTGCCATATTTTTGCTGCAATCCTAAAGTTACTGCTGATGCTGCAGATTCTAACACTGCTGTGCTTGCTGTTTCTTCCGCTCTCGTTATAGACGATTGTGCCCAGTAATGTCAGCTTTGAATAATAAAGCGCCGTTCGTTTTTATGACTGCATTTTCAGTACGAAATTTATTGACTTAATTTACTGTCAAACGTTTGTTTTAATTTGTTGTTAAAGTGGAGTAATAGTTAAATCTGTTGAAGTAAGGTAAGGAATGAGTAATCAGAAACAAATTTATTTTGTTCGTTGAGGTATGTAAGTGTTTAAGAAACGAACTAATCAAAATAAGATTTGAATAATTAATAAAGATTAACTTAAAAATATAGTTCCTCTTTAAAAGTTGGAAGTAATATTTATTTTTACATTTTGCCTTGCGAAATATTGTTTTAGGGCGTAGTTTAAAAAATTTTAGTAATGGGAGATATGCATAGTCGTATGCATGATCTGACCGATTCCGATAAATGATCAATATAATATCAAAATACATTACGTTTCAAATTTCATTCGCTAATTTTAAAAACTAGTAAACGAATTTTTCAAATCCTTAAAAAACTTCGTCTTACAAATCGCTGACTCGGAACCGGGTTTCGACTCATATTCTCTTAGGCAAAGTCCTTCAGAAAGATTCAGAATATTTCCGCATATGCAATTTTTCCATTTTTTTTTATCCCTGTAAGTCAACCCGCTCTAAAACTTGAGTTTGTTATATATCTGCGCTTCTCGATTTCTGTAGCTGTCCGTAAATCACAGTCCTGTTTCAATATCTAACGTAAGCGTAACGTCAACTACTCGTATAATCCCACCTGCAATACCCGCTATAAGGGTGTTAGTTTAAAGCAGACATTGTCAGAGGAAGGGTGATATCTTATCAGTTCGAAATTTAGTGTTCCTACCTCTGCATTCACAATTTGAGGAACTTTCAAGAATACCATCCCCCCGATTTCCGGGTTAAAGATGGTACATATGGTTACATAGAGCAGATTCGACAGGTTAAGAATATTTATATTTATAGCCGTCGAAAATCTGAAGAATCTGTATCCAATCATAGCACCCTGAAATCGAGGGATGGCAGACTAAAGCCCACTCCACAATAGACTATACCGCTTGAACGTAAGGAAAGCTCAAAATAGACATCAACTCTTAGACATAAGGGAAAGCGGCAGGCTCCATAAGTTTGGGATAAGTATATTTGGTGTTTGATTATCTTGCACACGGCATCAAGAAGCCTGGCTGATCCACAGACAAATACACGGCAGATGCAGAAATTTTCGCTTGTTGAAGTTAAATGAAATATTTACATAAATGTATTGCTTTAAATATGCATATGTACACAAGCATGTTATGTGCGGAACACAATGCTCGCGACAGACTGCAGCAGCCCGACAGTGAACTGAAAATGTCGTTGTAAATCCCACTACACGAACGTTTGTGAGAGGGCAGCAACATAACAATGGCCGGCATGTACACAAAACAACGCAGTTGTCCATTTTGCATGTACACAATTTCGTTGTGGCCATATTAATACCTTGCACTTCAATGAAATTTTAATATTTTGTTCAAAGTGAAATTTTCAAGCAAAAAATAAGTAAATCGGTAAATTTATTTGTTTTAAATTATCTATTGTTATTATAAATGATGTAACAGAGCTATTTTATGCTTTTTTTTTTGTGAAATAACGTCAGGTTTGTTAGAGCTTTGAGTAATTTTACATTTTACATATTAGTGACATCACCACTCTACCTCATCTCTCTATC